GACTGCTTTTACACTAAATTGTCTTAGGTTTCAATGAACATTTGTATCTTATGTAGCCTGTTTCCGGATGGAACGCCAAACAGAGCGCTCGCGTTAACCGCTACACGTACTTGGAATCTACTCCAGTCCTTTGGATATCTATTGTAATGATAGATATTCTGGGACTTGCGAGCGTTCAGATCAACATTTAGATCGTACGGAACGAAGATTACCAAAAGAATATGTGAACAAGGTGTTTATGCATGTTAATTCAAAAAAACAATAATAGTTTCCCATGTTTTTGTGTTATCATAGCCTAAGCCTAAGCCTAAACCAAACTGTTGAGTATAAGTTGTATGAACAACTCCAGTAGAACAAAGTCACTGTATGAGCAGTCATATGATTGCCTATAATTTATTTGGAGAAAGAGAAGCTCAAGCGAATGAGTAATAGAATATTGTAATATTCAAGAATCTGTTTCATACAAGTTGCGAAGTGAAAAAACAGTTAATATGAAGAGAAACGGAAATTTGGAGTTTCACTATTTTTCAACTATTTTGAATCATTTACTTCTCAAATATGGATATCAAACCATTGTAATATTGGCAGATGATATAAAAGATGTGTTGGATGAGAAGAAAGAGTTTTGTTTCGAAGTTCGTTTCATTTGTGCAACGATCATCTTTAATCACTTACAGGAATTCGCTGGCTAAGGAAAGAATTTCAATCATGAAACTGCGATACACACCAAAACTAATGCTGGTTATAGATACACCTGTATAGGCTTTACAGATAACGCTGATTAAAGTATTCTTTCTTTAGATGATGAAATTGTATTTTATTGGTGAGGATATAGTTACCGGTATGAAAACATGAAAAAACATTAGGCGGTTTTGTCCATTAGTCTTGGCAAAGCAAGAGTTATGCGTCACAAGCATCATCTTGGTAATCTTCTCAGTGCTGCCTTGCAGAATATTTTCCTAATTCAGCACAGTCTGTAATTTTTTTTCCTTTATAAGGTGATTTCTTTTTTTTCCGTTCGCAACTTCTTGTTTCCTATGTACTGGCTGGGAATGTTTGAATGTATTTGATTTTGATCTTTCCACATACAATCCCTTCTTTGTTCATCGCCATCTCTTCTTCCCGATGTCATTTCAGTTTTTTTGATGATGTTTCTCATCATCGAGTCCGATTTTTGCTTACTGAAAATCCGCACAGTGCGATTTCCTATTATCTCTACATTGCAAACTCTCTGTTTCATACGTACTCTGTACTTCTATTTCATTTATCTAATTTAATGTGGAATCCTTACCCCCCAGACTTTCTAATTAATCTCCTCCTCTTTTTTAAACGATCTGAGCCTAGAAAATTTTTGTCTATATAAGGGATGATTTGTCGACCAATATAAGCTAACTTTCGATCCGTCCTCTTGCAATACGTATTTAGTCTTTTCTTCGTTCATGTCCTCTATTCTTTTTATATTTTGAAAATATTTAGAACTTAAGCCTTGTAGACTATTTTATTAATCTTAATGCTCGTGGTGAAAACTGAACTTTTTTTTATTTCTCAGGATGTCTCTCTCTGGTGCCACTTCTGGGGCCCTGCTCTTCTCTGGAGCTACTTTAATTGTATCCTTATTTGCTGTTGCGTCAATTTACTCTCAAGTAACGTCAATTTGGAATGAGCTCGACAATGAAATGGATAGTTTCAAGGTGATTCAGCTTATATGTGACCGCGATCAAATCAGAATTTACCTTTATAGTCCTTAACTAATGATCTTTGGACTGATATGGTAAAGCTTGGTGCTGGATCAGCCAGTAACCGTGTGAGACGTCAGAGTTACGGTGGATACGGAGCCAGTGGTGTCCAACCACCAGCAGCTCCAGAATTCCCTGGAACTGGAGACTACAACGGGCCAAATCCTCAATCTAACCCAACTCCTAACTTCCCCTTCGGGGGTGCTTCTGGCAATCCAGGTGGACCACGTTGTCAATGCTCTTTGACTAACAGCTGTCCTGCTGGCGCTGCTGGTCCAGTTGGAGAAACTGGTCCTGATGGAGAAGATGGTCTTGACGGCATTGATGGATATGATGGAGAAGATGCTGAAAATGTGCTCAATTCTGCTACTTCTGGATGCTTCACTTGCCCACAAGGTCTTCCAGGACCACAGGGACCATCCGGCTCTCCAGGAATCCGTGGAATGCGCGGAGCCAGAGGCCAGCCAGGATTCCCAGGACGTGATGGAAACCCAGGAATGCCAGGAGAAATGGGACCACCAGGAGCACCAGGAGCAGATGGGAAGGTGGGAACTCCAGGAGAAAAAGGAGATGATGCCGAGAAGCCCATCGGACGTCAAGGGCCACGCGGTTCTCCTGGTGATGTCGGAGCAGAAGGAGCTGAAGGAAATCCAGGACGTGATGCTTATCCAGGTCAACCAGGACCAGTTGGAGAACCAGGACAACAAGGATATCAAGGAGCTGCTGGACCAGACGGTGAAGAAGGAGCACCAGGATCCCGTGGAACTCCAGGAAAAGATGCCGAATACTGTAAATGCCCAGAAAGAGAAGCTTCTCCTCCTGGATACAGATACAGAAAAGTTAAGAGAACTCATTAAGTTATTAAAGTGTTCCAATAAAATATTTATGAATCATTTCGTTTTCTTTCCCGTTTGTTTAAAATGTGAACTTTCGTCTCACAATCGAAATGATGTAGTTGAAGGACAACGAGTTTTTTAACTTCATACCTTATAAATAGAAGGATTTGCTCCATAAACTTGTGTTGATGACATTGGAACAAGTGCATTGGAGGCAACGCTCCATGTGTATTCACAACATTCATTCTAATCCTAATTCTTTATTTTCTTCTCATTATTAAGAGCGAGTATGCGATATATGATCGTTTTGAAAACGAAGTTTTAATTTCGTTTCTCTTTTTCTTTTTTTGGCGAAATCTCTCTATTCGTTTCTTTGTCAATCTTTCCAAGGCCCACTTATTCCTCTGCTAATCCTTCATTATAAAACTTGAAAAACGGTTAAAACTTGAAGAGCTGTTGCGGGAATGCCTACTATTCTGTTTTTTGAGTCGTATTCTCACCATTTCCTCTTTTATTGAATTGAATGAAGGAAGGTCATCGTTCCATACTGATGAAAACTGTTTGTAACAGATGTCATGAGATGTGCCGACTTCATATGAAATGATTGTCGCTTCACGCCGTATAGAAAAGACATTCTCAATCATTATTTGAATGTTTCGTTTTAATGTTTGTTAGCTTAATGCTAATGTGAAGGCTTCTATTACAAATGGTTATGATGTCATTAGTGTGGAGTACAGTAACCGGAATAGGAAGAAAGCATTGTTAGAACAGTAACTATTCCTAAAATCATTGTTGATCATGAGTTTGTGAAATGAAATGATGCAAAAAGCGTGCCTAAGACGTCCGATTGATCATCCACAAATAGATTATAGTGTTTGATTATTATACGATTCGAACGAAGACAAAAAAATGATTTTTGAATGTCGTCATTGTTTGAAATTATTTTTTCTCTCCAATTTGTATTTTCCAATTTAAATTTAGGATGATATAGACTATATGATGTGATTAGTTCATCCAACATTCTTGACGTGATCAGTGAGAAAGAAAAGCGACCTTCCTCTTTCATTCAAACAACCTGTTAGTTGAAAGGTAGAAATTACAAATGAAAAGAGAACTATGAGAGGATGAGAGAAGAAAAGAAAGAAACAGACTTTAAAGAAGAAGTTAATGTTGGATGTTTGTTCCGAACAATTGACCAACAAAGCCTAAATGGGCCTTCTCTATTCTCTCAGTTTTATAGACGACTTGCAAAATTCCTTTTATATATTTTTTTTCTTTCTTTACATCATTCGACCATAATTGTATGTTTCAACTCTGTTCGAACACTGTCAATTTTTATTTTGTGGAACTAAATGACGTTCTCTCATAACTGAGATTGGATTTTTTCTTTTGCTCACTCGCATATCTCAAGTTATTCATTCTCATGTTGAATGTTATTAAGGTCTATCACTTGAATGTTTAAAATTTTCTTCTTGGCTATATGTACGTGGCCCATATTAAGCCTTTCTTCTTCTCTCTCTCTCTTTCTCTTTGTTCTTTTTCTTCAAATATCTCAATTTTGCTTGATCCTCGGATTTCTGTTTCTTCTTCATTCCTTCCTCATTCTCTTCTCTGGACTCTCCTGTTCATTATCTTCTCCCTTATATCATAGGGTGATCTAAAACCGGGCAGACTACCGAAGAAGGATGAAAGTGAAAGTCAAATGCGAACGTCATGCTTTCAACTTCACTCTGCGTGAAAACCTCCCCCCAGTCTTCATCCTCGAACCTAAAATACAGTTTTTCTATTCTATTTCTTCTAGTTACACATTCATTTTTTTTCTTCTACTTCTTCTTCCTTTATGAGATAATATATTTTATTTTTTTCACATTTCATGTATTTATGAACAGGTTAAGTGTTCATCTATATTCCAGAAGAAAGTAATTTCACGCAAACATTTTTATTTCTTGAATTTCACTTCTTCAGAAGACATACAGTGATAACATCGGAATTCGTTTTCATCTCTCTACTTCTTTACTCTTCAAATACCAACGAAACAATTGTGACTTGTTCTTTTAACATTTGAAATAATTAAAAACAGGTTGTGAGAGATGAACTTTCTAACAAAAAACTTATCTGGTGAAATCTTAAAATATATTTTTAATTGGTTACAACTGACTGTTTGATGAATTTGGCCTTATTATTGGATGGACGGGCCGTCTGTCTCTTCTCTACCTTCGCCTCCAGAATCATCAAATATCCGGTCAAATTGATGCATATTCAGTTGATTCTGGAGATGAAGGTAGAGAAGAGGACAGGCTATTCGGATGATGCTAGTACTTTTACCTCGTTTTTTCCTCCCCAATAATCGCACAGTTGTCAATCATATACATACACACATACATATATGTACGTACATGTAGTTGGAAAGTTTTCCCATCATTTTCTCTTTTTTTACAGCTTCTTCTGAACGACCCTTAAATGGCTGCTACTCATGTTGTCTTACAAGTTTCTATTTTTCTTCTCAAATTTTCAGCTTATCCTTCTCGGTTCAAACGAAACACGTTTTTCCGGTCAAAATTACCAAAATAGGAAATTGGCCAAAGACAACCTTGACTTTTCATGTTTTCCTCAAATATTTTTAATCTTTTTCTTCGTTGACTCATCTTATTCGTCAAAGAATCATTTGAATGTTTTTACACGCGCACACGTAGACTGTGAGATACGCACTGGTTTTATTTAGAAAAAAAAATATTTTTTTTGTCCAAAAAAAATTAAATAAATAATTAATTTCATCATCCTTCCAATTGTAGAGAGTGGATTGGAAAAAAAAAATTTTTCCCTTTCTTTTTACCGTTCAAATGAAATATTGAAACTGTGATTTAGTGGCTCTCATCATTCCATCTTTCTTTCTCTCATTCTCTGATTCTGAAGTGGAGCTCTCCATGTTGTATATATCGTTTCCTCTCATATTCTTCTTACTCTCACATATAAAATAATTTTTTGTTCTATTTCTCCATCCAATTCTATTGAATTCGATTGGTTCTTTTGTCACGAAAAACAAGCAGAAGAACTTGGTATGTTACCATAACCGGACGTTTTCAACCTTTGTCTTCTTCCATTCATTCAACTTGTCTTTTTCTTTTTTCTTTTTTTTTTGTTTTCCAAATCTGATTTGATAATAAAGAAAGAATGATTTGAAGTAAAATAAAAAGCAAAAAAAACCAACTTATAGCACTTTCGGTATGTTTCAGATCGCATATCACTGGACAAAGACTCATTGTCTTACAGGCTAGTAGTTAACACTGGAATAGAAACTTATTTTCGAAACAGTTCCCTTGATCATCTATGCGGGATGAAAAATACACAAACAGTCGCCTCATCACAACAGTAATGTGATTTTTATGACGTTTTGAACGAGTTTCAAGAACGAAACACCGAATCTCGTCAATCCGTGACTACTATAACGAGAAGTTTGATAAATTTCAAAAACTGATCAAGATCATCTATGGCTCTTCTTTTTCCTCTTTCTCTGTCTATCTCTCTCTTTCTTCCACTTTCTCTTTCTATCTCTCTCTCTCTCTCTCTCTCCGTTTCTCTTCTCTTTTCTCTCTCTCTCTTTAACTGTCTCTAGATAATTACTTAACCTATCACTTAAAATATTTGTTTTTCTCTATGATTTCATTCTATTCAAGTTGCATAACTAGTAGAATTAATCTTCTTCCTTCTATTTCGTTTGATATTGAGAAAGGTAATCACATTATGCTCCCAGCGTTTTCAAAATAGAAAGATGCGTGAATCAAGTTAATCCAGTTTGACGTTTATAGAAAACCGTCTGTTCTAGTAAAGGTCATCCTTATAAAAGTTTATGACAATAATTCACAAAAAAAAAGAAAGTTTAACCTCTAGCCATGTATAGCTGAATGCAATTGAAAGCAGTCAGAACGTTAGTTGAACATGCTGACAGTCTCGCATCATACGTGAATGAGCTGTAAGTATAGTTAGTCATGTTGTTGGACAGTAGGTAATAGCAGCGATTAACTGTCATCCGTAGTCCATGTCACGCTATTCAATCTTTTCCGAATTTTTATTCTCAAAAACTCATACGAAAGTCGTTCACAGTGATGATTGTGAAACCGATGATTATGACGTCAATCTGCGTTCAAACATCTCCTTAATTTCCGTGATGTTCTTCTCTCTTCATACAGTCATATGACCATTACAACGAGAAAAGTTTTCTATACATTTCACATCATCAATGTCGTTTTTTTTCTCTTTAATTTTAGCCTAATTAGCTCAACCAACCACTTGCTGATCGACATTGTTGTTTTCCCATCTGCCATTTTCGTTTTTTCCATACATGTTCTCTCTCTCTCTTTCAATCTCTCTCTCCCTCTCTGTTTCTCTCTCTGTGTTCACTAATACTGCTTTTATACACTTGTTAAGATAACTTCTAATCATTCTGATTACAAACGTGCAGAAATGCTCTTTTCTGAACACTGTCCATTAGATTGGGTGGCTGGTTCATTGAGATTCATTCGATTATCTGCTTTACATCATCTGTTCCATCTTCTCGTTCACACCAACAGTTTCATTTTTAACAAAATACTTCGAAGTAGCGATCTAATCATTCTCAACTTCTAATCAGAAATAATGTCTTGACCTCATTTAAAACGATAATGGTCTTAGTCTTTGTGAAGCTTTTTTTCCTTTTTCATGTCTTACAGAACGATATCTTCCAACTATCTTTCACATCTTCAGAGTTTATTATCGAATTTTGTTTCAACGATCGCTTCAGTCATTCAAATCGCTTCATTTCTTTTTTTCCACGCTGTCCTGATGTCTTGATTCTTTCATAATTCTTAAGCTTTTCAGCTAAAATGACGAAATTAGGCATTGTGCCTGTCCCTGGGGCAGAAGAAGCTGCCAATGAAAAGAAGGTTGAAGATCTTCAATCGGTCAAAGTTGATCCAAAAGTAAGCAATGGTCATTTATACGGTCAAAAATTCAGCAACGTTTAAGGTATTCACTGTTCTCCAGCCAGTTTATCCTCCACCAGCGGCTATTCCAGTCAAGCAATACAGTGTAAGTGGTGACTTGTAGTGGAATTCCATATAAGGCATTTTCAGCCATTCGCTTCACTATGTCGAGTTCTTATCTACACCTTGCTGTTTGTAACTGTAACTGCTGTAACCCTCTATTTGGCTCATGGAATTTATAGAAGAGAATACATTTTGGTTTAGATTGAGGGTCAAATTACATCAAAATAATATATATTTAAGAAGCAACAATCAGATTTGGTTGACCAGCTTCAGAAGAACCAAAGACAATCTTTTAATGCCGAAAAATTGATCAGAGCTAATGTATTGAATGATTTTGGATCTTCTTCTAAATAATTTTCTTTAATAGAGTAATTTGAATCAACTTCATCCAGCCCAGCAACTAGTTGATGGAGCTGTTAACCGAAAACCAGCAGAAGTAATTTACTCACATATTAAGAAGAAAAATATTTTCTTATTAAGATGGTTGCTGCTGAACAGAATGAACCTATTTATAATAACTGGGACAGAGTTAATGCCCACAACATGGAATATGTTCAGGTAAGGATATACCCCCTGATGTGCCTCGCGTACCCACTTCATTAATACATTTTTAATAACTCACAAACTAGTTCTTCTACTTATCACGAATATTAAAATTTTCTTTGTCTAGTTTCTGCTTTCAGAACCAACGTATGTTGCGTTATCGTCGTCTCCAACAGTTGGCTATGATGGAACAGCAAGAACAAATGGCTAGAGCTGCTTGGGCTCAACAAATGGAAGCTCGTGCTCAATGGGAAGCAGCTCGAATGGCTCGTGCTCAATGGGAAGCTTCACAAATGGCTCGTGCTCAATGGGAAAACGCTAGACAAGTTCGTGCTCAATGGGCTCAATATTTGGCTGCTCAACATCAACAACAACAAATGCAACCAAACTTTGTGCAACCACAGTTTAACGCTTGGCATCAGGTAAGAAAGCAAATTGAAACTCTTATTAACTCATTTCAAGCAAATACGTGCTGATAATGAAGCTCGTATGGAGGCGCTCCATGCTGCACAACGTGAACAATACGCTCAATGGGTTCAACAACAACAGCAAATGGAAAATCAACAGAGAGCTTGGGCACCTAACTTCCAGCCAGCTAATGTACAGCAACAGCAGCCTCAGGTTGCCGAACAACAACAGTTCCCAGAACAACAAATTAGAGTAATCAAATTTCCTAGTTATGATGACCCTTCGCTCGCTTATTTCAGCCGCTTATGATTGTCCGAACCTTCTCCAGAATGTTGCCTACAAACCAAGAAAACAATGTTTGTTTCAACTCATTTAGTACGAACAACTCGTTCTTCAGATTCCCACCCGTCCTCATGATGCTTCCCCTCAAGAGATCATCAACAATATGAGTGATCTTCCCCAACCAGCCATTCATGATAGAATCTATCAAGAAATGCAGAAAAAATCCCAAGGAATGGATTTTAATGCTCCATCTCGTCCAATTTGTAAATAATAACTTCTACTTTCAACAAATATCATCTTTTAAAGGGACTGCCATCACACCAACTCCAGAAACTCCTCAAGTTAACGCTGATCAAATCTTCGAAGAAAACATGAAGAAAGCAATGGAATTAGAGAAGGTTTGCATTTTTATTTGAAAATGAAGTTATACAAAACAATTTATAGGCCACCACTCCCGTTCCAACCCTTCCTACTGTCGATTCCAGCTCTGAAGAGAAGGTAAGAATTTCTGTTTCTAAGAACGTTCTTAAGAGTTCTCTTCAGAACGATGACAACATTTTCCGTGATATTTTCAACGCAATGGCCGTAGTTGTTCAACAAGAGACTCAGAAAGCCAACCAAAACAACATTTTCCAAGAAGTTAATGAGTTACAGGTTAGTGACTTGATATGTAGAGCCTCTTATGATTCGATAATAACTTAAGAAACAACAAGAATCTGACGAGGAACAGAAATCTAAGGAAAACATTTTCCAAACCGTTGAGAGACTCCAAGTAAAAACCTCACTTTTATGATTGAAAAGACGTTTAATCTTTCAGAAAGAACAAGAAGCTAACGAAGAAGAAAAGAAGGAAGAAAACATCTTCCAAGAAGTTGACAGAGTTTCCGAACACAGTGTACGATAATTCTAAATCAGAGTGAGACTCTATGATACCATTCTTTCAGAAGAAGCAAGATGTTGCAGAAGAGCCTAAGCAAGAAAATATCTTCCAAGAAGTTTCAAGAATTTCAACTGATCTTGACGTCAGTGTTCTATTGAACTTCTCATTATAACATATGTTACAGAAAGAGGAAAAGAACGAAGATAACAAGCCAGAAAAGGAAGAGAGCAAAACTGGAACAAACATCTTTGAACAAATCACTCAAATGGCTGACGCTATCGTCAGTTTTTCTTTTAATCACACGTTTTTGAAAAATGAAAATACAGATGCCCAAAGTCGAAGACAACGATAAGCCACTCCCCGATGACGAAGATGTTTTCCAAGTTGTTGAGAATGCCCCTTCAGCACCACGATCCGAACAGAAGGTATTCCGTTCTCTGGTCTTGAGAAATTGTATTAATATACTTCATGATAGGTTGAAGAAACAACTGAACCAGTAGTGATTGAAGACTCCTTCCCACGAATTGACGAAAGAACCACCACCTCTGAAGCTCCAATCGTAAATTAACAAACAAATCAACTAAGCCCTAATTCGAATTTTTAGGAAGATGAGTCTGCCGAGCGTGACCCTCTTGCTGGGTTCGTGAAGTAAGTAAATATATCATTCCTTTTTTAAATTATTAATTTAGCATGGAGGAATTCGAAAAGGAAGCTCTTGAAGTTGTTAAAGCATTAAGATCAAACAACCAACAAGAGAAGGAACAATCGAATCCATCTGTTCAAAAGCCTTCAGCTTAATTTAAAGCACCCTGTAAATTGGTATCACCGGTTCCCCTCTACCTTATGCTCCATATTGGTCGTTTCAATAATCCATCTCGAATCAAAATCTGAATAAAACAAACTTTTCGCATCATTTAGATGTTTCTGCTTGTGCGGAATTGTAAATAAAGAGTTTATCAAGTTTATTTTTTGTTGAACTGAACAGTGATCCTAACAAGTTTATTAATCATTCATATGATCTGAAACTGTTTATATGATCATCGCTTATTTCTCGAAATCTCATGTCTTATGACTCAACATTGTTGAAAAACGATGTGACCATTCTTGATGACTTGCTGGATGACGCTGCTATGTCCAGCCATTCTGCGTAATGTATTGTTAAATAATGTCGATGATGAGCTATATTTACCTATAGACAACATGCTCCCATGAGTTCGCATTTAAAACTACCATATCGGCTTTGCGACCAACACATATCGCACCTTGGAACAGATTGTTATAACAAGCAAGTTTTTTTCTTGAAATACCATGAGTTTTTCCGCGGCCAATGGAATGAGCTGAATTGAGGGTTGCCGCAACCAAAGCTTCTGGCATTGATAATTTCATGGTTATACAAGCTGCAGAAGCATGATTAACAGATACTCTTACCTAACTAAGTTTAACATACCTAAATGCATTATCATTGGCATAGCAAAGCAGAAAGCGTTCGGGTTAAAATCTGATCCTAAGGCCACTACGACACCTTAAAAAAACAAACATAGTTGTTTGATAGGGTTAAGACTAGCCTTTCTCTATCATTTTGCGTGCTGGAGGGGGAGTTAATCTCAAAATGAATGCAGTTGATGGAAGAAGAACGGCTACAGAGCCAGACGAAGCCATCATTTCGATACCTTTCTCGGAAATCTCTTCCAAATGGGACATAGCTCGTGCCTACAGAAAAGTTATACACCTTAACAACGAATAGTTTTACTTACTCCCAGTTCAGCTCCAAGTTCGACTCCTCCGATCCAATTCAGTTCCTCTGCGTGGAAATTAGCATTTAAGCCTGTTTTTTTCCCTTCCTCGAGAATCCTACGTCTAAATTTCAATTATTGGTCATCCGATAATACCGTAGAACATGACATACGTTGTTTCGACACCAAAAACACCCTTCTCACAGAATACGTCTATGTTCTCCAAATTACGCAACTTCCCTTCTTTCTTCTCTTTTTCTATTGCCGGAATGATTTCATTACAGATTAAGTCAGTTTGTTCAGCTTCAGTCACGCCCTATATGATACAGTATAGCAACATAGAAGAACAAAAGCCTACTTTAGGAACAGCATGCGCTCCACAGAATGTAGCAGAAATTTCAAGTGGTACAAAATCTGACAAACGACTCAAAACTCGGAGCATCTTGAAAAAACAGGGGGAAAATGATTCAAAACTGAATGAACCTTAAGTTCTGTTTCCATTTCTAATCCATATCCGCTTTTAGCCTCCAGCGTAGTTGTACCACTATGTATCATAAGAGTTGCTACCTGAACAGAAAATCCTGAGAATCCATGTCATGCCAAGCTTACATTAAGAAAGTCATCCAGAAGTTGATCTTCTGTTGCTTCTCTAGTTTTGGTTGTTGTAAAATGTATTCCTCCACCAGCTGCTTGAACCTTAAAGTTGGCATTGCAGGTAAATTGAAAAAAAATATTACCTCCATATATGTTGCACCTGCAAGCTTCATAGCGAACTCATGCACTCTATCTCCCGCAAAAACAGGGTGAGAGTGACCATCAACAAATCCAGGAATCAAAACACCTCCAAGAGCATCCAATTTCTCATCTGGTTCAATATCACCCAGAAGTTTCAAAGCGCCTGCCTCGTTCCCAATATATTTAATAATCCCGTGGCTGTCAACAAGGACAGACAATTGCGAAGAGTCATCATCGAGAATCTGCATGAAAATAGTAATCAAAATCAAACATAAACTCCACTTACTTTTATATTGTTCATATCATGTTTACCGCTAAGGAAGGATACATGAGGATCATCGGTTATCTGGACAATCTGTTTAACGCCTGTTACTAGAAGTCGATAGGACATTTTTCAGCTACCCTGAAACCTAACAGCTGATAAAGAATGAGAACTAAAACTTTATTCTCAAGAAGTTCAGCTGACTAAGAACATATATCAGTTGGTTTTATCGATTCGGCAACCTGTTTCATCTCATAAAAATAGGAGATGAATTCTATTGATAAATATCATCAATGAAAAAAAAGGAGGCCAAAGTAATATAACTCAACATCTTATCACCCAATCCCATATTTGTATTGAACACCACTCTAGGTTCAACAATAAGAAAAAAATTTATTATTATGGTTGAATTATGGTTACATAATACTGATTTCAAGAGTCTTCCATTTGGCTCTCATCATTTGCGTCTTCGTTATAGATCATTTTTTTCAGCTCCATTATGTCACCAGTTATAAGTTTCTCGAAGCGCTCAAACTGTATGTCTTCCCAGCACTAAAAAAACGTGCAAACTGTTAGACGAGTTAACAAGACATACCTTAATATCAGGAACAGGCATCTGTTTGAGTTTTGAACGTATTTGATCAACGTGAGTCTAGAAAAAAATATTCACTACGAACACAGATGAGCATACTATGGACCGAAATCAAAACCGAAACTCACAGAAATACAAGACTCAAACTCCTTGTTCGCTCGTACAGCTGATACTTCTTCCTCAGCATATGCTTCAAGAGCTGATCCTACGGACCCATGTGTTAGCACAGTGAGCCTATCTTCCCAGGGCTGCTCTTCAAAATATTTGAAAATCTGGGACAAAAAACCGTAGTAACTCTCATAATACTATCGTACCACTTCTTCCACATTCGACGCCGTTACGGCTGTGGTAGGCTGATTGGATAGGTGTTTGTCTTTCTCCTCTTTTTTTTTCTTATCTCCAACCTGGATATGTGTTATGTAACGTTGAAGAACTATGAAGTGATGTTTCAACCAGCTTAGTGACGATCATTTCAACAGCATTAGCAACTTGTCCATCAAACTTTGCGCCAACTCTACGAACGTTAATAGGCTTCAGGCCATAAAATAACTATTGGTATGTCTTGTACTTAACTTACATGCATTCCTGCCCACGCACCGGCGTAGAGAACCTTCAATCGAATCAAGGGTAACTTAGGCTGTTTAGGACCTCTTGTTTTCTCTGCCTTTTCTATCAATTCTTTGATTTTCTCACAAACGGCAATCTCATCCTTAGAAAAATTGAGAAAAAAATAAATGAACGAATTCTGGTCTAACCACAAAAGGGTCTCCTGATGGACGTATTCCTCCGACAGGTAGACGCACACCCTTGGGCACTGTGTCCAATATCAGTTCATCACATATAATCTGAAACCAAATTTTCACTTATTATTAGAAATCGAGCATCAAACCTGTCTAGTCGTTTGCAAAGGAATTGGTTTGCACTGGAACTTTCGTCCTCTGATCTGAAGATATATGCTCAGTCGGTAATAAACAGCTTATTTTACCTTAGCCAAAAATACATGCTTTGGGAGAGCTTCGTCTTTTGTTAAGGAGGTAGCTATAGTTGACCCTGGTTGTAAAATGAAAAACCCATCGCCCAAGGCATCCGATGAAGAAACATATTGGCATTCTGAAGAAATCGGAAGAATTGTAAACCACTTGAAAACTATTATGGCAACCTTTTTTACATTCATGCTCGTGTCCCCAAACAACCAAATCAAAAAACGATGGGATAAACTGTTCAGGTAAGTATGCTCCCGTTGATCGAGTGTTAGACCTAGAATTCATAAGAACTGAATCTAAATTCTGCACACCTTTTCGGACGATTCTGGTGAAGAACAAGCAGATTGAACCAGTCCTCGGCTCCCGCTCTCGGTCTCAGGAACTTTATCGACTCATCTGATTCCAACTATATACATATCAATGAAAGAACTAACTTTGAAATGCTCGGCATAAGCGATCATCGCGTTGACTACCCATTCCAAACAAGGCTAATCTTGTATCACCTTTTCGTAACAAAATCGGCGAAAGCTTAAAACTAGTTGTTATTTTCATTTTAAAAGCGGAGGAATACCTCAAATTTATCAATATTTTCAAATTTCCCGAATAAATTTATGAGACCTGCTTCGTGAAGGAGGTCCAAAGCTGTGAGTCCCTATAAACAAATGAATGCGCCGAAGGGAAAACTAGAAATTAAAGAAGTAGTTGAGAAATCCTCACCTTTCCTGCCATATCATCATGATTTCCATGAATTGTAAACACCGGTAATCCGATATTGAGGTTACCATCCTAATAATTGAACTGAACTATATTACTGCGAAATTACCTCATAGTTGACTCTGTCAAAACGACTTTGATTGAAATTAACTGAAGGATCGGATAGAAACTCGAGCGATACCTCGAATAGAATTAGCTATTGAATTGAACTCCCATACAACTAAAACTTCTCTATCACTCATGCAATACTGTCGTAATAGCTGAACGACTTGCAGTTGCATTTCTCGAGTAGGTAAATTTTCATGAAATAAGTCACCTCCTAAATACTCCCATCGAAAGATGAAGCAAAATGAATTAGCTAACCAAGCAGAACCATGTCAGCTTTCTTTTCAACAGCGATTTGTAAAACTTCTTCAAAAGTTCTAATAGAGTCCATATGCCTGAATCACTGTTGGCCATCAAGTAGCTTGCCTTATGTACCTGTTGGCTTTGGTCTCTCCATACCCTACATGTATGTCTGTTGCAATTAGTATTTTGATATCATCAGCATCTTCTCTACTAGAGTACGCTAGCTCTGTCACCTGAACAAAACTCATTTCAAACGGTATGGTTTGAATGGCTTTCGAAGAGAACGATTCGTTTACTCACCATTGATTCGTTCATCGGTGTTGATGAAGAAGGAGCATCTTCCAAATCGATATCAACATCAGATTCATCTTCTCTACACATTTTCTGAATGAAAATTAATGCTGTTTAACTCTTTGCGCCATGGTTACTTTGCGTACAAAATTTGAAACCGATCACCAGTTCATATGGTACTGTATCGAAGCAAATAACAAAGATTAAACAGTTTTGAAGAAAAAAAGATGTTTTGTTATACACATTTATTGATAAAAATAAAAAAAACAGTTTCATAAATGAATGAATGAGACCAAGAGTTTGATAAGGAACGGCAAGACTTCAACAATATCCCTGATTATACATTTGAAATACGAGATGTATTTCAAATTTGTTGATGTTTTTGTTATTTATTGATCTTTTCGAACAAAATCACAGTTCGAGAAAAATGATTTAATGTCATCGGCAACCTTCTTGTCTACTGCAACTTTCAACAGCTCAACCATTCCTTTTATGCGAGCACTGTATTCTATGGCTTGCTGTAATGATTGATAATTGTTGGGTTTTTCTCATTCTCTGAAATTACCTCATGTACTTTCTTTTTGAGACGATCGATCTCTTCATCTTTATCCCTTATTTGTCGTCGTAACTCATCTACTTCAACAGTTCGATCCAAACCTCGTAGTAATTCGTCAAAGTTCACAATCCCCTGTTCACTTGCTGAATGAAATTGATTCAAAATTTAGGAAAATAAGAAAAAGTTGAATTGAAGATGTTCTCTTCCTTGATCAATGCAATCAATGTCGGAAGTGAACAATCAAATCGTTTCATTAATTTCATCCAGTCACTCAGGTGAATAAGAAAGGAAGTAGTTTTTCAAAAAAAAGCTCAATTTACCGTAATCGTTGACTTCATCCGAATTAGAAGAGACGTCATTCATTTCTTCTGGCTCAACGCTTATAGATTCTCGTGAAGTTATAATTGAAGGAGTTTCTTCTATTACTTTACCACTGAAAATTAAAATTAAAATTAATTCTTTTTCCATATCGACTTTATTTTTGCTAAACAAGGTCAAAACGTACTTCTCAGCTTTTACTCGTCGTCTCCTTTTGCAATTGGAGTATAATTTCTTAGCTTGTTCAACTCCTAACGGGCCAAGAATGGTTGCATAACGATCATTCGCTCTTTGGGTAATTTTCACCCACATATTGTGTCTTTCAGCATTTACAGCAGCTGATCTGAAGAAGATGAAATGCACTTCATATAACATTTGTATAATGATTACCTAGAGGAGTTATCAAAACACATTCGTTCCATATAATGTTCAGCCATTCCCACTACAAAATCATGTCGATCCTTCTTCAATTGGTATAAGCTATCATTGGCAACAATGGTGGACATAGGTATAGCATTAGGCTCCTCTGATGTTGTCATGGCTGTTACAGAGTTTGAGGACATTGAAGATGAAGATGAAGCAGATGTCGAAGTGTTGTTCAAAGGGCTTGATGAAGAATGGCTGGCAACAGTTCTAAATTGACAGTTGAATATCCGAACATGTATTAAATAATTTACGCCAGGAAATCCAAAAGTTTTTGATTTCCATCGATTGCTTCTTCCACCAGAGCTACCCCTCCCCTCGGCGCATCCATTTCAGTCTTTACTCTGAACAGAGAGACGAACACTTTTCTTTTCAGGAAAATAAAACTAACCGTTCAGGAGTAATTGGCTCGTCGGCAGTTATAGAAAATTCCTCCATAAGGTTCTCTTGTTCCATTAGCGCAACCTGTTTTCTAGATGAAAAAATTGTTGAAACATTCAGAAGACGTTAAGTACTCACATATTATCATAACTCCCATCATCCTTTTTTTTATAATAAGTCAACAACTTTTTGACCTTATCAACTGTCAAATATTCCAATTTATTTCCAAATTGATCGTTCACCTACAACATACACACAAACTATAAAAAGAACTCTGGCCCATATACGAACCTTGTTAGTTATTTTATCCCATATTAATGCTCTTTCCTGATTTTTTTCGGCTCGTCTGGCTGAGGCGCTGTCCTGAAATTTTCAATTTTCGTTTTAAATCCATACTTTTTGCTTTTTATTATATTTCAATTGTCCTATAATAGATATGAGATATGAACGTGAGAACTATAACTGAACTCTCGCTCAAAGTATAAATCAAATGGAATCGATTGATTGGAATTTCATCAAAAAATGGATTGAATGGGTTCCGGCTAATTCTTGATCGAACGTTCTTTATAACAAACAAAAACTCACTGCTAGGCCAGGAACTTCTCGGAACAATTTAAGAAGCAGTTCGCCACGCTCACGTCGAAGCTCCTTTTCCTCGTGACTTGTCAGATTAGTACGTCTGGAGCTAAAAGAGAAGCATAAAAAAACAAGTCGTTTGAAGATTTAAGAAGCAGGACTATTCAAAGGTTTCTCGTTCAAAGTGAAATAATAGAAATAATACCGACCCACGACTTGCTGGAAGAAGAGATGATGCTGCTGAGGTTGTCACGGCCAACTTGGCTTTGTCATCCCCTTGCTGCTTGGCATCCAATCCCATTCCTAGGCAACGAAGACGGGCAAGTTGCTCATCGTCTCTGAACGAAATGAAAATTGGGTTTTTTATTCAAAACAATCAAAAGAGAGTTAAATGTAGAGAAGCATACAAAGGGCAAATATGAAAAATTACTTACTCAATTATGAAATCCGCTGTCAGCTTCATCTTTTTACAAGGGCTTCCATCATTATTGGATAATACTGATCGCTTGAGCATGATAGGATCTGTGAAAAAAATATTGTTAATAGAAGTCTTAGCTTCTGCTGCTTAACGGGTTAAGTATCGTTCGAATAAACAAGAAAAAAAACAAAAAAATTGGTACTGAAGAGGGGGTGTGTTGATTATATTACTGGGCAGAAACGATTTTAGATGACAGAAGATTCTGATGACGACAAATGATGAAGTTATATAGTTGCTCCAAATAAAGCGGATACTAAGCTTTAATTTGGACCGTGGAGAGTAGGCAAGGAGCATGCGGGAAGTTAGCTTTGGGAGAGGAGGAGGAGGAGGGGGAGAATAGGAGAAAGAGAGAGCTTAAAGGAATGAGATTGAGACGAATATGGATAAGCAGTAAAAGAGAGCAAAGATGCAAAAGTTAAGATTTCGATTTACAAGCTATGAAAATATGTTGAAGAAATTGATGAAGAGAAGAAGGAAAGCAAGAGAGGAGATGAAGAAAGAAAGAGGAAAACAGAGAGAATAGAAGAGCTGGAGAAGATGAGGTGCAAAGATAATCTTCGTATGAAGATGTCCCTTGTGTTTGACAGCATTGAACGTTGGAATTGTGATGACTTACAGATAGTAGTCAAGTATTTGACGAATAAAAAACCACCACAAGACTTTGTTGAAAGGAACCAAAAAAATTTTTAATTTCAGAATATCAACTTGCGGAACGGGCAGAAGCAGGAATAGAAATTTGATTTCTTTCTCTTCATATAGCTGCAGAGTATCACGCTGTGGCTATGTAAAGTCATTTGACATGAAAGAGTTGTGAAGAAGCATGCTGAAGGACGAATGAGCTTTTTCCATCCTGAACATATGCTTGGAAGGCAAAGAGAAGAAGAAGATGCAGGAGTAGGAGGATGAGGAGGAAAAGAAGGAGGAGGAGTAGCAAGATTTTAGAAAGAAGAAGAAGAAAACTGATGATAGAACGGAGTGTGTCTGACGAGAAGACAAAACGAGAGAAGACACAACCACAAAGAGCACAAACGATATGAGCAGAAGAGAAATAGAAGACGCACATGAAAAGATTGTGTGAGGTATAGAGGCAGTCTCTGCCTTTAACCACCAGAGACGACAAAACAAGAATCGAGAGACAGAGCACCAAGTTTGTGAGAAGACCAGAGATGCGATGGAGATGGAGCACAGACAGCAACGGATGCGAGCTATGCTGAGCCGTGGTAATGGAGATGAAGGACCAGAAGGTATGATGAGCACATTCAGCAGGCGGGCTAACTATAGGAGAGCAAGGTCGATGGAATGAATTGTTTGAGGTATTTCAGGGAATTTCGTATTCAGTTATTTTTTTCTCTAGTAGTTTTTAAGATTTACAGGGACGTTGAAAAGGAGACTGAAACGGGAAAAGGGTTGGAGAGTGAGCAGAGAGCACGAGCCAATGATTTTCAAGTTGTCCAAGTGACAGAACGACAAACGCTAACAACAGACGTTGAAGAGAGTGAATGGATGTAGAAAACCATTGTGGAGACAACGAGAACGACGACGAAAAAGAACATAATGATGAAGATTGAAGAATAATCGAAGTAAAATCATCATGAGCATGGGAGAGCTGAGAACCAAGCTCAGTCTCCTTGTCTGAAAACATCAATTCGTCATATTGCTATAACATGAATGTACTTTAAACATTGAAGGATTTTTGAGAAAAAAGGACTTTTTCGTTTTCTTGTCATCATCATCTTCATCTCTTCAAGGAAATAAGCTGAGGTGCGGAATATCCGTTGATGACACAAGATAATCTTCCGCAAAGATTTACGTTTGAATATCATCACAAAAACAGCTTTTCGCTCAATTTATAAGAAAACATTTGAAGTTGAACGACAATCTCTCGTTTCCGGTAACAGTCTCATCTCGGAATCTGATTTTTCAAAATAAATTTTATTCTTTTTCGCGCTTTTTCTCCATATCCCTCACTCTTTCTCTCTGTCTCTCTCCTTCTCTCTTAATCTTTCCCTCTCTCTTCAGTCTTCGAACTATTCTTTTTGCAGAGTTTCCAACACATCCCAAACTCCAATTGTTCAGAAGCTTCAGAAACCTTGAGAAAAGCAACCTGGGCAGTATTTTTTCTCTTGATAATAAAAAAAAAAGTTTTTCATTATATGTTTGATAGAACATACAAATATATGTATATAAGTTATGTAAAGGAATCAGCAGAGATTTGGTTTCAATCGCTGTTACTTCAACATATGGAATATAACAAGCTGAAGCTCAATGATTGAATGAGTTGACGAATAACTGAAGAGCAAAAACAAAGCAGAAGCCGGATGAGATTCTCACAGACAGGATATGACAAAGTTTGGAATCCATGAAGATTATTGTTTTGATTTCGACTTATAAGATTGTTATGAAGTACTTTTTTAAGGAACAATGTCGACGAAAAAAAAAAAAAAATTCTTCGTCTCATGAACTGCAATGAAAACTAAGAGAAGTGAAAAGTCTTAGTTATTCCTTCCCAACGCAGCTTTAAACTTAAAAAGGTTCTGGCTTCGAATACTAGTGAGAATTGAGAGAACGAGAGAGAAACAACATAGATGGAGAAAAGAATGAGCTATGTCAAGATAGAGAGATAAGCCGCTGGAAGAAGCAAGACATCACTTATAGCTCACAAATTCAAGATGTAGAGCATAACTGAACGAATAGCATTCAAACTCATGAGACTCAGACTCATACAGACAAACAGACATTATGCTATTCATGGAGAGTCAGACAATAAGAATGGAAAAAGAGAGCAGATAGCTATTGGGCTCTTGCTAGTCACTGCTGCTGCTGCTGCTGTTGCTGCTGCTGCTGCTGCTTCTGCTGCATACGAGTGAACTGCGAAATGGGACAATCGACATAGCAGCGACTGAGAAGCATGAGAAGAAGCCGGAGAAACAGCAACAGCCACAACCACAGTGAAGCCGATTAAGCTAAAAGAAAACTCCTTTATTTCTCTCGTTTTCTTGCTATCGCTTTCTGGAACCTTATGACAAACTCTCACTCTATAAAATGAGGCAAACAAAAGGGAAAGTTGCAAAGAAGGTTTATGAAGGTGCAGAAGACTCATCATTATCGAAAGAGTGAACTGCGAAAGGTGTTCTTACAGACTCGAGTGGATAGATCAAAAGGACAACTTGAAAATGAATTCGTTAAATGAAGAGAATCAAAAAATGAGCCTTCGCATTGAGCTCTGAACGAAAAAATAAATAAATGAAACGTAGATGATTGGAGAGATGAAGTGAGAGATGAGAGGCAAACGAAATATTGGAGCAGCAGCGAACTCATCCTTATTTCAGCTTCTGGAGAATGGTAATGAATAAGATTAGAGAAACATGAAACCGTAGAATTATGAAGAGAGCGCAAAGCAAAATAAGGGAGGGGGGACAGCTGAACAACGTGTGCTTTTGGAAGAGAAAGAGACAATCATCTGCCAACACAAAATTCCATGGTAATACTGTTTATGTATATCGTATGATCAAAATTAAATAGTTTATGATGAAACCTCGTCTGGTTTCTACAGATGCACATATAAGAATATGAAGACAGCGAGGAAAACACGAGTTGTTAAGGAAGTTCATAGCTGTGTGCACCTGTTGAACAAGAGAAAATCTGTTTCTATCATCACAAATGGAAGAAGAAGTCATATAATTAGGTAATAAAAAAAATCTTAAAAAGTCGACACAAGTTGCTTCTAATTCGGTCATTCTGTTGTGGTGGATCGATGTTGACGGGCTGAGTATGAGAGAGGATGGAGGCTCAAGCTTATGAGCTGGATGAAAGATAAGTTATAGAACGAAATAAACAGAGAGACTTAGAGAAAAATAAAATGAAAAGTGAATTATATGTTGCGAGATAGACGGCAACGAAAATGAAAAAAACATTGAGAAGAAAAGATTATAAGAATAGATGGAGAGAATGAGAAGCTCAACATTCATACAAAATCTTCAAGAAAGGTTCATGTCGCTAGAAATTAAAAGCATCAACTGTGTCGTTCAAGTTCGAGAGAATTTCATTTTTGAGCATCAAAAAAAAACATTAAATAAATTCTATCTTAATTATTTTCAAGTGTTTAATGACGATGGAAGTGAGAGAAGGAGCCAGAGGGATTGTTTCCACATCCAATATTTCTATGGTTTCATTGGAATGAGCATGTTCAGGTTTGATGTTATTCCTTCGTGGCCTCCACCACGGGAAGCTTTAACAACTCTCCGGTTACTGGGAAACGGAATAAGAAGAAGCACATATCTTATTGAGAATAAAAATGAAGTGAATAACTGAAGATGAAAAGAAGAAGCTGTGACAGCTAAAGATAAAACGATGATGACTGGTAGATATAGAAGATGACAATGAATTGTCTGAGAATGATGTGAGTAAGAACAAAAAGAAAAGAAATAGGTAGAAAAGATGAGAAAAAAGAGAAAAGAGAGACTAATGTCTGAAGTGAGAATCAGGAACAATGGAGGTGTAATGTAAGTACAAAGCCAAAAGCCCTCATGCCCATAAATGGAATGTCAGTATCAAGGCGATGTCTGTCCTTAAAAGATTTTTTTTTATCTTTCCAACGACACAAAGTATATTATACGTATATAGTATATGCATAAAGCTATCTATAGACTTGAAAAATAATAATAAAAATTATTTATTTGAAAACAATTTTTATTTAAACCATGTATGTGTATTTGACACATATTGCCTTTAACAGCTGAGAGTCTGTGAATCAGCTGCATATTTTTGACGTCTGTTTCAGACAATATATATATTATATATATATTATATTTATATATATGAATAAAACGATTTTCTTCTTTTTTTTTTCTTCTTCTTCATTTTTCTGTGAATTTAAATATACAAGATTCCAGCAATGAATACGTTTGTACGAATATGAAACGAATAGTTATATGGAAAGGAAAGTGTTTGATCAGACATACACATACACACACAAATACACACAAACATATACACAACAAGTATGGAGGTGAATGAGTTTCACAATAAAGATGACT